CAAGGACCGGCTTCGCCGGCGCCGGCATGGCCGGCTGTCTCCGCGAGCGTAGCGTACGCGGCAAAATTGGACGCGTTCTTGCTTGTTGGCATCGGACAAAAGGGGTTTGATGCGTGTGGAGCGGCGGCGAAAGGTCCCCTTCTTTAGGTGCCGACTCAACGTTCCGACAGGGATGCCCGTAGCGACCGAAATGTCACGCATTGTGGAGCGCTGTTCGAACGGTACAGCGCCCACGCGCTGCTGGATGTCTTGAACCGTGTAGCGCTTAGGCCGACCAACGTTGCCTGCCTTGTTGGATTCGATCTTTCCACTGCCGCGGAATGTGCGCCAGATAGCGGAGACCACGCGCGCACTGACGTCGAGTTCTCTTGCAGTTTTGGCAAAAGCGCCGTGGGTCAACCATCCACCTTTAATGAACTGGTGTAGGTGTCGGATCACATCGTGTCGCTGGTTGCAGGAAAGCTCGCGTAAGGCTTGGGGCATGGCGGCAAATTCAAAAGTGTGTTGATCTTTATATGTGGCGTGTTTTTATTCGGGTGGTGGAAATGAGAAGTTGATTTTGGGCGCCAAAATTCAAGTTTCGCTCTTGACAGCCAATGGTTGGTCCCTATGGATTTTTATGCTCTCTATTAAATGATAAATTTCATCGAGTTTGGTAAAGAAATGGATTTTTGGGGTCGATGAGAAGTCAAATCGACGAGTAATATGGGACAGAGGAAGTAATAAGTATGTATTTGAAGAGGTAATACCCGTCATTCTTGCCGCGACATCGGCGATCCCGTGATTGAGACTTTGAGTGAGCCGTCCTCGCTCCCAAATGTGAGTAATCGTTCGGTAATGGCAACCAAACTCATTGGCCACGTCTCGAATAGCTCCATACGGAAGGTATCCACTGACAGACCTCTCTAAGAGCCTATCATGGACAGCGCGGCGTTCGAGTGGTGTAAGGTTCCGTTGAGTTCTTATGAGATGTTGCTGAGTGCCGCGGTGGTAACCCAGGCATCATTGAGGTGGTGGGAATGGTAAAGTCGAGGACAGGAGGCTTCAAGTTCAATAATGAACTCTCAGCGAAAGGTTTTCCGTGTCATTATTTGACCTGCCGACTTTGGTTGGGTGTAGATTGCGAAACAAAACGCTCTAGAAAGCGCAGAAACTACCCATTCAAAGACGAGATCTTGCGCTTTCGTATGCGCCAATCAGGTGCTGCATAGAGTATTTTTTAGAAAAATCCCGCCAATTACAAAAAAATTGGACCAAGATATCTGACCAGAGTAGTAATTTCGAAGCGGAGACATGCTGGAAGTATAGGAAAGATAACCTAAAGAATGGTTCGATGCACCAGTAGACCTCTAACTCAGAGAGTGAAGTACTGACTGAACAGGTACTACTTTATCCTATAATCAGCATTCAAAAATTATAGAGATGTTATGACAATTGCCCACTTGTAGAAAGCAGAAGCATAGTCCATTTGTTGGCCAGTGCGTTGACTTACTTATGCATGACAAAAGGATGGAGCACTTTGACAAAGTTCATCACCCGCTTCTGGAATGTCGGGCTTGCTTCCTTGAAGATGGTTGCCACGATGTCCCACGAACCGCCGGTTTTCATGGTTGTCAGCAGCATGAAGAGCATGTCTCGATTCGAGACCTCGCACTTCCGGCCGGACCTAACGTTCCACGACTTGTTGACGTACAGACGTATGTCCGCCCACAGCACGTTGAACTCAGACGGACTGAAGTTCGTCATCGTCATGATGCCATCGCCCCCCTGGCGTTGAAGAAGGCGTCAAACACAGGCGACGCAGAGTCCAGATCGTCATCTGGTTCATCCTCTCGAACAGTCGAGAAGCGTGCGCGTTTTGCTCGGCGCTGTTGGTCAAGACTCTCAAGTAGAGCCACCCCTTGATTGATGTTTCGAACCGTCAGTTGGGATCGATGTGTTGCTCTGGGGGGCATGGTGGTTATTGGTCAATGAGTGGTTGGCTGCTAGGCCTTTGTGTGTGGTGTGGCGGTTGGCCCCGAGGCCTGTGTTTGTGTGGTATGAAGGTTGGCTTTGAAAGAATTACTTGCATCTGATAGTTTATTTTAGTTGCTTCATGAGAGTTATTGTGGCCAACCAACGCTCATGTAAGCGATGGAGTGATATCCGAAAACAGTGACTGACTGACAAACGATTGACTGTGAACGAGAAGATCTAACCAATTCTCTCGTAATGTATCCATGCTAAATGATCCGGTTATATACTATCATCTTGATCAATAGCCAGTCATAAAAATCCTTCCAAGAACGCATAATTGTTCTAGTAAAGTGTACAGTCACTGGTTAAAATATTACACTATAATCAAGAGGTCTAGTAGTAAGAGCGGAATGCAGTACCGGCAGTATACTTGAGGTTAAGTGCATCTCTGTGGTTAGTGACTAGTGGATGAATCCAGGATACTGTATCCCAAGCACCTAGTAATTCCCTGAGACGTTACCCGGTATCATTTATTTCTTCGTATTACTTCATAGTCAAATGCAGTGTAAACCAAACAACACATTCCAGCAAAGACTTAACATCTTGCTTGGTATAAGTCTTTTGGTAAATGCATGCCCCATTTTAACGGAAAATTATGGGAAACGATTACGCACATTGCATCGTTTTAGGGTTTACTTGGGATAAAGGGGGTTATTTGAGATAAACGTGTTATTCCAGGGTAAAAGGGGTTTAGGGTAAGGTTTTTTGGGAACACATGGGGTGGTTTTTATGAGCGGGAGCAACGTTAACAGTAAAGAGGGATCGTTTTTTGCTAAATAGTTGGTGTGATATGATAGATGGTGACTATTCGTGTTAGTAAAGCCACTTTTGGTGATACATTTAGCTGGATTTAAGATGATTAGACTGGGTGAATGGGGGTCGATTACCTGGGTTAAGAACCGATCCGACAACGGGTCGATGGCAAGTTTGCAAGGGTGTGGGTTTTGGGTGGCGTTGTTAGAGTGTTCGACTATCGGGTCGAAGATACGGGTTCGAGTTCCTGAGACGACATCACTTTCTTACTATTGTAGGGGCCTTTTGGGGAAGATGCATCAGACAGGTCATTGTAACTTCTTTATTACTGAAGCAATTTCAACGCCTCTTTCGCATAATATTTCTTCAGACTACACTTGAAATGGGTTTCATTGACGTGATGAATAGCCAGGGTCACCGTCGCCTTCTAAATTTGCGCGGAAGATGTGTCGATGGAAATCAACACCCAAAATGTGTTATTAGGTGCTAGTATCTACTAAAAAATCTGATTCGTCTTCACTGATTGGCTATAATTACCATTAACACATCGTTTTATTGGATGACTAAAGTTCATGGAATCATCAAGCGACTTGCCCAAAGAAGGTACTTCTCCATCGATCGACACACATCGTTCTCCACCGTCTACTCCGCACAACACAATATATAATCCTTCATATAAGCCCTTGTGTGTTATACGTCTTATTTGAGTGAAGTAAGTGAACGTTTTAATGACTAATGGAGCCTCAGTAGCTGAAAGTCCGTGCCATTTTGTCAATATTTCATGCATTTTTTGCCCAAAATTGGCGTAAATCAGTTCAAATTGAAGATGAGATCATGATCTTTCTACGACTATTTTCGAAACTGTCAAATTCACAATATTTCATATTTATATTACAGTTTGTATGACCCTGGTATCATCCCAAAAGGCCCCTACAATAGTTCCTGAGACGACATCATTTTCTTACTAGTTCTACTATAGTAATACTAATGACACCCGTTAAAATGGTCCATGCCACGTCGAAAATATCATCTCCAAGCTTGGGATGTATTGTTTCGGCTTACACTGCATTTCACTATGTCATACTGTAATATGAACTGGTGAAGTAACAGGGATTTCCTGGGGGCTTGGGATACAATATCCTGGATTCATCCAACAGCCGTTAGCTACCGGTATCACTCACTATCAGTGGCTATCTACTGTATCACTAACCACTGATATGCACGGGAACCCAAATATCCAGCGGTGATGCCCATCACACTAATTTAGATCACACTATAATCAGTTGTTGATTGGTCGAACAGGAACAATTCCCTGATTAAAACAGTACTACTGTTTCTATTCTCAGAAATACTGTTTCAATGAGGGAATTGCAGTACCCGGACAGACAAGGCAGATAATTGCCAAAACTGACAATACTACTCTGGTCCGAAATAGTTGCAGGGTACGACTTCCGATTGGCGGCATTTTTCTAAATGTCGTTCAATTCGCATGGCGATTTGTGCACAAGAAAGCGCAAGATCTCAGCTTTGATTGGGTAGTTTGGGAGTGATCTAAAGCTTTTTGGTTCATGAGATACTGGGCGGGAAAAATGACGTGTCATTTGGTCCAAACTTTAGGCCATCACTGCTTGATCAAAATTCATTTTGAGCACGCCTGCACAGCACACGACCTTCGTGCTACCCTTAACCATGCCTTTGCAACCTACCGCCAGCACTGCCAACCGTCCGCGCAACCCCCGTGGCCCAAAAGGTGGCAAAACCCACCTCGACCACGACGAGCGTCGTTCCATCTACGAAAGCCTACTTGCTGTCTCGTCCTCTGGCATACTGCCTCGAGGTGCCATTGTCAAGCTAGCCAGACAGCACAACTGCCACCCCGACACAGTGAAGCGCGTGTGGGCCGGTGGACAGAGCTCCATCCGTGAAGGCCACATCAGCGCCGATGTTTCGTCGAAAATCCGAGGTATACCTGTTTGAATTTATCGAATTTGAAAAATATTATTTTACAGAGCTGTACTTGTTTAGGCAATTCAGGTCGCAAAAAAACGCGCACAAGTGAAGAGATAGAAGATGCCATTCGCCAAGTGCCGCAGGAGTCGCGGCAGACGACAAGGGCGCTTTCTCACGCATGCCAAATTCCAAGGACGACGGTGCTTAGGCACATGGCTGAATGTCCCCGGCTCAAGGCTCGTTCGAGTTACGTGAAGCCATTTTTGACTCCAAGCAACATCCAAGAACGCCTGCGGTACTCTATTTCTTTCCTTCAACCTTTGTCGAATGGAAATCATATTTTTGACGATATGCACGATTATGTGCATATTGACGAAAAATGGTTTTATTTGACAAAAGTAAAGAGAAAGTTTTACGTGTACGAGGATGAAGCTGTGGCGGCTCGTTTTGTGAAGTCCAAACGATTTATAACAAAAGTTATGTTTTTGGCGGCGATTGCCCGCCCCCGTGTTGACTTCAACGGCAATATATTTGACGGCAAAATTGGCGTTTGGCCATTTGTTGAAAAAT